GGCCCCGCGGTGGGACCGGCCCCGCGATGGGACCGCGGTGCTGCCCAGGGCCCGCACACCGGAGCTGCTCGCGGGAGAGTCTCGCCGTGTGGGAACCACACAGTCACAGAATACGCCGAGTTGGAGGCGTCCCACGAGCATCATCGAGTCCAGCCCTCAGCCCTGCACGGGACCATCCTCGAGAGTCACATCATGTGCCCGAGAGCATCATCCGAACTCTTCTTGAGCTCTGTGAGGTTTGGTGCTGTGACCACTGCCCTGGAGGGTCTCTTCAGTCCTATTTGTGCTCCACTCATAGAATATCCTGAGTTGTATCATCTCCTGGACTTCACCCCAAAATACGAACTTACCTTTTGCAGCATCCCAGCATTCATTGATACCCATCCCAGCATTCATTGATACCCACCCCAGCATTTATTAATACCCACCCCAGCATTTATTAATACCCATCCCAGCATTCATTGATACCCATTCCAGCATTCATTGATACCCATCCCAGCATTTATTGATACCCATCCCAGCATTCATTGATACCCATCCCAGCATTCATTGATACCCATCCCAGCATTTATTGATACCCACCCCAGCATTTATTGATACCCACCCCAGCATTTATTAATACCCATCCCAGCATTTATTAATACCCATCCCAGCATTCATTGATACCCATCCCAGCATTCATTTATACCCATCCCAGCATTTATTAATACCCATCCCAGCATTCATTTATACCCATCCCAGCATTTATTAATACCCATCCCAGCATTCATTGATACCCACACCAGCATTTATTAATACCCATCCCAGCATTCATTAGTAGCCACCACTGCTCCACTCGTGTGTCACACACTGCTGGGACGGCACAGACAGACTTACTGTAAATTCAGCTCTGCTCTTGAGAAAAACTCCACTCCACTAAGAGCTTCATGAGCTTCAAGTGGCTTTCTTGCAAAAATATTTCTTCTGCAAAAATATTTCTTCTGTGACTGATACAGGTACTGAAATTATCAACAATGAAACATTTACATACCAAACAAGAAAAGCATGGCCATGGCTTAAAATCCATGTAACTTTTAATTCAGAGATTACCAGCATTATTAAACAAACCAGCTATAACACATCCAGCAGGTTGCAATGCATACAGTTCACCTAGAAAGCTGTTCCAGTAAAAAACATTAATTTATATATAGAGCTGAGAGGTACAACTAGCTGTAATTGCAGAACAGCCCTGAACAACCACAGCCAGGTGAAAGTGGTTCTTCAGTTTGTCGGTTCACAAATTGGTGTTTTCTAAAATGAAGTATGTAGTGAAGTTAAAGTAGATGTGGAAGAGGTCAACTGAAGTGACCAAGGCAGTGGAGCATCTAAGTTACATGAGAAATAGGAGGAGATGGGAATTCGGCTTGGAGGCTGAGGAGGATACAATCACAAAAATCAAGAATCACAAAAGCAACTCTGTTGCAAAAACAAACAAACAAACAAACAAACAAAAATCCCCCAAACCAACAAAAACAAGCCACTGACTTCTGTAAGACAAGAACTAGTGGCACTCACTGAAATAAAAAGGTCAGTTTAAAAGTGTTAAAAGTCCTTCTTTACACAGGGCATGGTACCTGTAACTTGTTGCCATGGGTGCTTATGGAGGAAAGATTGTACCAGGAAATTCAAAAGAGGGAAGAAAAACTAGTGGCAATATGAGTGAATAGTAAAGGCTCAGACAAACTCTTGGACATCCTGATCCGATTCCAGCTGCTGCTGCAGAACTGTGAGGAATATTAGCCAGCAGATATTAGCCAGGCTGATGTGCTCTTCCTAACTGACATCCCTGACTGCAACTGCCACAGATAAAATGTTGGGCTCATACTCCTAGACTGGCCCAAGAAGGTGTTTTTATGCCTTTATGTTCCTTTTGTGTGTTCTAAGAGAAGTCATTGCAGCTGCACAGCTGTTTTTACAGTGCTTCATCCAGGGCAAAACTGCAAAGCAAGCAATGGTTTTTGTGGTTCCTTTTTTTGACTATTAAGACACACTTTATCATCTTGCTCATTTTCCATTGTCCTCTGCAAAAGTATAGTCAGCACTATTACATTTACAGTTACTGAACAAGCAGCATGAAAGACTGAAAAATAGCATAACACAAGCCAGTCGACCACAAAACAACTTTGTTTTTAAAGCATATGCAAATCAGTGTCACCCTGATGATGCTGAACAATTCTAAACCAAGTAGATATTAACAATTTTATAGGAAATAATTGCTGTGCCTCTTTTTCAGTCTTTTCTTTCTGTAGAAAAACAGTTTTCCTTCATTTCCCTTTTTACAGGCTCCACACCGGGTTAAACCTGTAGTTCATCCAATAATCAAATATTCAGCGAGTTTCCATCAGAAAAGGCCATTTCATACACTTAGTGATGATTTGAAGTAGTCAAAAACATGAATCAGGCTTCAAAACCTAGAAAGAATGGCCTGAAATACAGTGGACTTCAATTAGTTTTATTTGCCTTCTGTTTCCTGAGCCTGTGTGGCACCTTTTGATCCTATTTCCTCAAAAAACCATGAAGTCCACAATCCTGAGAGTTGTTTGTGCTAGGGAAAACTGAAGTTGTCATCACTTTCTGTCAAGAGTTGAGGCCTTAAGAAAATGCCAGATGTTGCAAAATATGTGACAAATTTGGAAGTACTGGAAGTAAAACAACCTATTCAACGACTTCCATGGCTGAATCTCAAGTTTGACTCGGAACCCTGGCCAGGATTTTCATAGCTAATAGAAGTAGCCAGACATAGGTTTCAATCCATTCCTTCATGCAGAGAAAGCAAGCTGTGAAACTTCAGCTGACATCCAGATGTCCTCTGAATTGTGCAGCTTTGATTCAAATTTGTTTCCAGCATAATATTGGGAGAGAGAGGGAAAGAGGAATATTTGACGTCAGCTATGCGGGCCAACGGTTTGGATACTCCTGTCATTTGGTAGATGAAGGAGGTTCTAGCTCTCCTTGTTTGAGTGTGTTTCAGTGTTTTCCAGGAGTCTCCCAATAACCCAAGGCACTTGTCACAGAGTCAGACTTAGTGTAACACTGGGTGTTCCTGTAGCTCATCATCTCCATGGGTTGTCACTTTTCTGTGGCGGTGGTGGGGTGGTGGAATTCCTTTCCCTCCTCTTCCACGGGAACCATTACATCGTTCCCTGGGAAGGACTCTGTTTCCTGCTCTGGGTAGTGCATTCCCAGTTCCTCTTCCATGATTTCCTGGGTGTTGCTTTCACATCCTCTGGCAGGGCAGTTTTTGCCACCGGGCACTTCTGCAACAGACCCCACGATAACAGTGTCGGCCTTCATGATGTAGAGCTTTTCTGAGGAAGGAAAAAAGTAGTGCTGAGGGTAGTGAACAACCACTGCTGGCCCCAGAGATGGCTCCTTATCACACAACATTTTTTATTAGGACTCTGGGCATTCCAGATCAAGTAGATTGAGCTTCCATGGGATGAAGCCACTGAGCTAGGACTACAGCAGAAGGACAGAGCAGAAAAGGCAGAAGATACTCACAAAAGCCTGCTAGAAGAAGCAATTAATTGGCACCTAGATATAAAGAATCCAAGGTTTATTTCCCTGCTGTTTCAAGAAACAACACCACCTGCATTGAAAGCAGCCTTTGGGCAGGGATCAGCACTGTACAGAAATTCTGGGGTCTTAAGACCAGCAAAGAAATGACATTCTTTCCAGCTGAGAATAAACTGCAAAATTTTCTGGGATAGATTTGAACTCTGTGTCCACCTTGTTATACATACTCCTTCACAAAAAGGTAAATAAGGCCTTTGCAATGGCTTGGACCACTGCACTTAATTCAGAAGGATGCTGCAGGTCAGACACTGCAGGTCACAATTGCTTGGAGGTATTTGGATATGGTAAGTCAAATCATCACATTCATCCCAATCCATCACTCACAGTAAAAACAGAAAGCTCATTTCGTAAGGAAAGGTCAGCTCTTGTAATATGAAAAATAACACTTTCAAATAACCTCAAAATTGGAAACATTGCCAGAATGCCTCAGGTAACAATTCTCCCCCTCAGTGAGCTCCCTTGCCTGGCTTTATCTCCCACCCTGTGCCATGGTCAAAGACTTCATGGGAATACATGGGAGACACATTTCCAGCTATTAATGTGAACCCCAGAGAAGCAAATGGTAGTTTAGTGATGTGAACTACCACTCCCACTCAGAACATCATTTCCCAGCTGATATATTTTTGGTTTTCAAATTTCTTGTGTAAATTTACATCTTCTGGAATGAATAGGAGGAAGAAGAGAATTTTCTGTCAGATTCATAGGTGACTAAGGCAAACATGAAAATAAAAAAGTGTTATATTCAGATGAATAGATATTTGTGTGTCAAAGATTCTGGAGATTCAGCTCCAGTCTTTATTAGCAGATTTGAACACTTTGCATCTTATTGGTAATCTTGGAATGACATTATGTGACATGGCTGAAAAACTGGAAAAACAAGAGAGAAGGGGAAAAAAAA